ATGAACATACGTTAAAAAAAATACTACGGACTGTACGGAGTATATGATGAAATTTGGTGTGTAAAATGTGAAGTAGTTACTCTAGTTAAGTAAATTAGCTAGATATTACTTCATTACTTTACCAAACACTTTGACAAACAACTCATATCAACTATCTTCTATCAGCCTTCACAATTAGCTATCGACTAACATCTATCAGCCAATTGCCAAACACCTCCTTTTACTTTTAAGCATGAATTTCGTAGAAGTATATGTAAGAGTGTCTTTGGAATACTCTTTTTTTAATGGAAAACAACTTATATTAACACATCGGAATCCAAACAGGTGACATTAAGACTAGACTCTAGAGACAAAACAAAAACAAAAACACAAAAAAACGTAACCCGACCATACGTCCCTAGACCAGACTCTGAATCAATCAGCCACTGAGAAGCAATATGACTTGTTAATCCCCATATGAGCAATTGTAAGCCAACCATGATTGATTTAGTGTTGTTGTCTAATCTTATGTTGAGCTTGACCCATAATATAAATAAAAACCAAACAAGAGTCATCACGGGCAAAAACGTAAACAACCCAGCAAAAGCAGAATCCAAAATCTTAAATGAAAAAAAACTAAGTACTTAACGAAATGAGAAGACCTAGGTGAGCCTAGATTTTCAGGTGCGCCTCTTTCACATTTTTTGGCTCGTCCACAATCATAGTCCCTTTAATGAGATCTTCCTATTTTGGGTTCTCTTACATTCGCCTCCCCGTTGGCTCCCCCCCCCCCCACTTAACAGGCAACAAACCCCTCCATGCAAATTCTATGGAAACTCCCCTTGCACAAGAACTACAACTGAGTCTCACTCTTGGCTTCCGCCAACTATGCCCCCTGTAGTCTCCCCATTGCTCCCCACAATCAGCAACTTGTGCACCATCTCTAACCAACCAGTCCACTTCCCTCATCACTCTACCTCTATCTTCCCCTGCTCGAAGCCACAAACCATATGACTTGACTAATTCACCATCTCCATTATTATACGCCGAATACAGGAACGGTCAACATGACCAATCAGACAACACATAAAATAGAAACTCATAAGTTTTTCATACTTTAAATCCACCCCGAACAACTCCCTCTCATCTTTTCTCAACTTTTCTCTTTAAAGGTTTCCCTATGTCCAGATATACTCGTAACCTCATATATGGTCTGCATGGATCTTCAAATTAACTTTCTTTAACTTTAACTAATTCTCCTAATGAAGTCCTAAAGCGTTTTGCAACTTTCATAGTAAAGAAACTCATACGTAAATTATGAACTTGCACCCAAAAATCTACCTCAGTTAACGAGACTTTCAAAGGTAACTTACTCGCATGTAAAGCATGCAAGACTAGCAAAATTTGTTTGAATAATCATGGACCATTTTCAATCACACGTTTCATATCAATCACATGATAAAAGGTAAAGATACACCTAACCAAGCATTCCAGCCCAGCTGGTTGTGAGGTTACCGTGTCTAGTGGGAGGTCTCGAGTTCGAATCCCGCTACGCACACAAGGGTTGGAAACTCAATGGATTGAGCTTCAGTCCTGCTTACTCCAGGCTCCCCCAACCCCCTCCCCTAGACCCCCCTGGAGTTAAAAAAAAAAGGTAAAGATACACCTTTTATCGTTAATTTATTTAATCGAGACTTGCATCCCTCCAAATCGATGCCATAACATGTCTAAAGAAAAAGAATTTTACCTGCTTATCGGCAATGAGTGTTCCAACCACAGAGAAGGCCGCCCCTTTGTGTTATCCGTCATCATCCCTTTGTCTATATCCACTATAAGTCATGTTGGTGCAGGAATCTGACAGCATGGACTACATTTGAAAGACTTGACCGAAGCAATTAATGACATATTTATTAGGATTAATGCTAGGTAATTAATTATAGCGGTTATATGTGTATTATTGTAGCTATTAATGTAATTAAAGCAGCAGTTACTTAGAAGGGCTGACCGACATTAATGACGACATGATGACGACATTGAATGTTGTCATAACGGTCGAAACCGTCAACAACGAACAAAAAAGGCATTGCTTGCCCCTCCTATAAGTAGTATCGAGCTCAGTTGTAAGGGAGGTCTCTCATTCGAATTACATATTAAATCACGCTTTGTTTTGCTCTTTTAGCATCTTTTTGTTGTTCTTGTCATCTTCCTTACCATTCTTGTATGAGACCCAATCAATATACAATTTTCATTTTAATTAGTTTTAGTTTATCAAAATTTTGCTAAAACAATTTGGCGCCATCTGTGGGAAATCGCGCAAGAAATCTATTCTACATGGAAGAAACGTGCAACGAGATGATGGCCAAGTTTCATAAGCAATTGGAGGCAATGAAAGAAGAAATCCGGCGTGAAGTGGCAGAACGGATGGCTCACCTCCAACGAGAAAATGACGTACTACGATCTCAAGTGCAATCGGTGGTGTCCATAGCCTCTAATTTAAGAAACAATCGAAGGAGCGACGCAATGACCGCTGCTTCTAGGCTGGGCCTAAGCTTCACCTCGCCTACGACGGAACCGCTCAGCACCACAATGGATCCCGTCTCTCTCACGTTAGGCTTGTCACCGATTGGAGAACCGAGACCGTCAAATCAATTCGTCCCCCCTCCAAATCATAGACGGAATGGGTTCCACAACATTGATTCAATAAGGAAAAGGTGTTGATCCCATAGTGTGACGTCTCTACCATCATTGAAGCATTCACAAGAGGTTTGTATGAAGATTCGGAGTTGTACCATGAACTGACGAAATAAGCTTGTCGGTCCTTCGAAGATGTCCAAGCAAAGATGTTGGCTTTCATCCGTCTAGAAGAAGGCTTACGATCCCGTCGAAGACACATTGAGCACGAAGGGGGACACGGGAAGTCGGAATCTCCCAGGAGGCATGATTTCAAGCATGGAAAACCATATTCGAGACATGAGGAACGAGTCGTCACTTCTATGACAAGATGGATCAGACGACATGACTGAAATCGACAGACATGGGCTGCAACACGGTACTGTTAAAGTTGTTTCATTTTCAGTTTATTATTCTCTTTTATTATTGTCACTCCTGAGACAAGATAGACCAGACGACATGGCTGAAACGTCGGACGGGGGGCATGTCGTCTGATAATAGACTTGACGAGATGATTGAAACCGTCTGACTATGGACAGGTTCTGACGATATATCTCTACTTAGTTTCATATACGTATTCTTAATTTATTACTTTCCTTTACATATAAAACGATCACTAACGTAAGCATCGGAGGGCCGTTGGCTTCTAGCCAACGGCCGACGTTAAGTCGTTAACGAATTCTTTTTTGCACAACAACCGTTGACAATGGACAAGACGATGTCCTAACATACAAGGCCTTACAACACGTCAAAACACAATTGACATGGGGCTTATGTAAAACAAAGCCTTACAACACGTCAAAACACAATTGACGGGGGGGCTCACAAACATATGAAGACTTAAAAAAAACGTCAAAACACAATTGATGGGGGGCTTACATCAAACGAAGCCTTACAACACGTCAAAACACAATTGACGGGGGGGTGGGGGTGGGGGGGGCTTACATAATTTAATGGGAAGGGTTAGGCTGCCCATGAGAATATCATGGATCACAGTCCTAACAGAGCCCATACGATACGGTTTGGGCAAAACTACAGAAATACACAACAAAAGCATGACAAATAAGCTCCAAAACATAAGGAGACACTGGGAACGACATTGACACAAATCATAGAAAGATGTTGCAAATTTCTGTCATCTAGTCGTCAGCACAACTTTGGAGGGTAAAGGACAAAATTCTAGCTTGCAGATTTCATTGTTTCAGTTAAGCAGACCGATCTGGTCGGAGGTTATTCGAAAGAAAGACAAAAGCAGTTTAGTAGACAAGTTGATCAACATGCCACGATGCAATGAACCAAAATGCGAATTTTACTTTCAAATTTTCGACAAGTTGTTGCTGAATAAGTCGACATGTGCATCACTCGCCCCAACTTCTCGAAAAGCGGGCAATTGTTGGTGCAGGAATTTGACGGCATGGAGTCCATGGACTACACTTGAAAGGTTTGACCTAAGCAATTAATGACATATTAATTAGAATTAATGTTGGGTAATTAATTATACCGGTTTTATGCGTATTATTGGAGCTATTAATGTAATTAAAGCAGCAGTTACATAGAAGGGCTGACCGACATTAATGACGACATGATGACGACATTGAATGCCGTCATAACGGTCGAAACCGTCAACAACGGACAAAAAAGGCATTGATTGTCTCTCCTATAAGTAGTATCGAGCTCAATTGTAAGGGAGGCCTCTCATTCGAATTACATATTAAATCACGCTTTGTTTTGTTCTCTTAGCATCTTTCTTGTTGTTCTTGTCATCTTGTTTACCGTTCTTGTACGAGACCCAATCAATATACAATTTCTATTTTAAGTAGTTTTAGTTTATCAAAATTTTGCTAAAACAAGTCATTCATTCTCTCCCTCTAGGATCATTCCTTAACTACTCAACCACGTCCTGTTGAAATGTTATTGCCAAGTCGAAAAATGTTAACATTGTCGTTCATGACCTTGTCCTTGCAATTCAATCGTGGATTCAATTGCTCCTTGCCTCTTCGAACCAGAATTCGGACGCACCATCACACATTATAGCAGCGGAAATCTCTCAACCCTAACGTATTAGGAACACCTATTTTGGAACACTCGTATTGTTTCTCGACTATGTCATGGAAGATTTTTTAATTAGGAGTTTAACGATATAGAGAGTGTTTGGATCTTCTTCTTAAAACTGCATCCGCCCCTTCATGGTGCAGAAACAGATATTGGAGTGCACAGATATTGGAGTGAAAAGTGCAGAAGTACTTCTGGGTGCTCCGAATTACTGATTCTGATTTTGCTTCTACTTTTAAAAAAGAAGTAAAAGCAGAATCAATTCAAAACACCCCGTAAAATATAGGCATCTCCAAAAATTGAAATAAGCAAAAACAATTTATCTTATACTCAGTTAGTCACTCCTCTTATAAAATTCACAATATATCTAATGTAACCAAGTGTGCATGGTGCATAAATGCATATACTGCACGACAGATATGAGCAGTCGACTCGTAAAGTAAACAATTCATCAATTTAATGATAGCATTGATACCATAGAAATAGTCAATTTCTTTAGATTGCCTCATCAAACTGCTTCTTTGTATGAAGCAGATAAGCTTTTCTATGAAAGCTCCGGTTTAATTTCAACGTCAGTTGCTGACTTTTCAGAAGATTCTGAAGCTATTTCAAACTGGATTACTCTGCAGTCTTGAAAATGTGCATCGCCTTGAACACAAGAGTGTCATATGAATCCATTATTTACTTAGAAAACCTCATGGTTCCATTGCCTAACCGGGCTAAGAATTATCAGTTGTCCCGGGATGTCTGTTTAGCACATGTGAAGGCCATGAGTCAGTAGAAGACGGGTACCGCGGGCGGGGCCTACTCAGATTGGATGGGAGATTGTGCGCTGCTTCTTCCCTCTCAGCCCCACTGTTATCATTAAGTAATGGAACGACCAAAACCGCAGCTGTAGAACTTGTAAGATTGTCATCTGGCAAAGAAGTGATATCAGGGGCTTGATGGCAGTAATGAATATTGGTGTTCTGGGAATGCATTTTCTCATCTATTTCAGCCTGTAGGCTCTCAATGTGAGCTTCAAGTGCATGTTTCTCTTCTTTAAGCTCATCCTTCTCTATGCTCATCTGTTCATTATTCACAACAGATATGACTCGATGAGCAAACCGGTATAATGTACCATAAACGAAGAATAACAGTCAAGTAACACTGAAAATATTTGACAAAAAACATATACGGAACATTTGACAACTAGCATCATAATAAATACCACATTTTATCTGTTGCCATATTTTGAATATCAGATTATATTTCAAATCCTGAACTTTAAAATCAGTCCTCATGCTTCCAACATATGAAAAAAACATGTAGAGATTTCGAAGAATTTGTCCCGTTTCAGTTAAATACCAAACCAAAATATAAGACTTTAGACTACTATCATAACCTTTTTGAGATAACCTTTTAGAATGAAAAACCAATGTCAAATATACTATTAAAATCAATCTGATTCGTAGTCCTTGTGAGGCCTGTAAATGAAAAAATACACTATCATACAAGGGTGTTATACCACTTTTAGAAGGGATGGGCCTAAGCACACCCCAGGTTATGAGGTTAGTTAAAAATGTTTTCTTGTGCCTACTTTTTTAATAAAATAAGTTATATGAACTGTTAAATTTAGGCTCACAAATGTATATCACGATTGCCCCGACGATAGACTGAAAACCGTAAATTTAGTTCAAACAAATAATTTTCTTCCATAAGGTGATGTTATTGAATGTTGAAGCGATGTCTGTAGTCCTTACATAGTGAGACTCTGAAGTGAGAGCAGTGTTCTCCTTTTTGAGAGAATCCACCTGTGATATTAGTTCCCCTACCAATCGTATGGTTTCTCTTAACATGCAAGCCTTCCCATAATCATGACCAGATGGCTCTACTCAAATGTAAAGTTTTATATAATCACAAATTAGTATGCTGAGTTAAGACTTCCAATTTGCAACTAAAATATGCTGACCAGATTCTATTTTCCTCACCCAAAACTTTGGCTAGATCTGAGAATAGAGTGTTCACATTATCACGTTTCTGTTTCTCCCTCTCGGCCTTGTGGATTCTTTTAGGAGCTTTTTCGCATTTCCGTTTCTCCATCTCAGCCTTTTGTTTTTTTCTGGAACTGCAGCATATATAGATCGCCTTTCTATCAGCAGATTATTATCATCAAAAGTAGAACACTATTTATAAATCCGAGCTCTTTTACTTAATAAATTTTGGATTAGAACAGGGATTTCTTTCAGTGAATCAGACCAAGATCATTGTCATATGTATTAACTAAGCAAGCACTACATTTGGACAGTCCACAGTTGGTCTTTCCCGCTTTGTGGATGAGATTGACTTTAGAAGTTAATATACTTCGTAGTAGTTAGAGCATAAGAATTTGTAATCTTGCAACATGGAGGTGGACTACGTTGTACAAAAGAATAGTAGGATTACAAGTACTGTTTTAATTTTCATAAAACTGACTTGCTCTTCACTGGTTTGTTTGTTGATTTGGATTGGTCAGAATGAATGACTCCACTTATATTTAAACTACTTTACCTAGTAGGATTAATTAGATAAAAAAATGGTTATAATTTCTAAAAAAAATCTCTGCACATCTCTTCTCATTTTAGAGGTTTCAATGGATTTGAACTCTTCCATAACAACTCACGTATCTCTAAAATTTCTCTAGAGGCTCAGCACTACTCTAACGCTTCTAAGAAATTCTGCGCATCTGAGAATTCTCCAAATTATTTTCGAAAACTTGATCCTTCTAAGAAAAAGTTTTAGAATTTCCTAACATTTCGAGCTCAAAGGATCAAAAGTTGGAGGAATTGAGACGTAGGGTTAGGTATTGTCTGCAATCAATTTCATTAGTTTCGAATTCAAGGAATTGTTATCCTAACCTGGTGACGACATGAGCAGCTCCATCTTTATCGGCCGTTGAAGCTTCACTGTCCATTCTCTGAATATTGGTGTTAGGATTTTCATACGTTCCTTTATCAGTTTATCCACAATATAATTGGGGAAATTTGACAGCCATAGCGGGCGGAGTACCCTATCCATGCGGCGGCTTGTGGCGGGCACACGATTTTTTCAGTCATCAGGTTCCACCCTGGCACCGTATGAGTCAGTCATGTGTCGTGACTATAAGGCTGTCCGCAATGGGAGCTGTGGATACACCAAATTTAATGTTTTGACTCCTTATGGTCTGTTTGCAACAGCTTCTGCTTTTAAAAAAGTGCTTTTTTTAATGAAATGAGGAGAAGTGATTAAATAAAAGTTGATAGTGTTTGAGAAAAAAGTGATTTTGAAAAGTAAAATTGGGTAGTGTTTGGTAAAATAAGTGTTTTTTGTGTAATAGAAAAAGTAAAAGCACTTTTGACGCAGAAGCCGAGAAAAATAAAAGTTGTAGTGTTTGGGAAAATAAGTGTTTTTTTAAAGGCAAAAGTTGAGAAGTGCTTTTTTAAAAGTAGTTGCAAACCAACCCTTAATATGCTGCAACCCTAGGAAAAAAAAGTATACCAAGGTCTCAACGGGAGTTGTTGGAGCGGAGGGGGGCCATCTATAGGAGGGCTATTGCCTCTACTGCGGAAGTGGCATGTGCGGCAGTGGGCCTGGAGCTGACATGTGCAAAGAGGAAATGAAAGGTGGAGGATTGTGCGTGAGTTTCTGCTACTCCTCTTGCGCGTGGAAATGAAGTGTTGTGTTGGGATTTTATTTTATTGATTATTGATTGTTGATATTTTAATTTTAATAAAACATGTGTTCCAATTGATTTAAATTTAATATTAAACAAGTTTATAGTAAATAAAATGAAAAATTAATAATAAAGAAATATAGAAAACAATTAATATTTTCAAATTGAACTCAAGTACACATTTTAATACTTACAAAAAAATCACATTTTTTATTTTTTTACATCGGAATGTTTGAGTTTTTAAACAATAATTATTGGTCAAAATAAAATTAACACATACATTATGTGTAGTAAAATAACTAAGGATTTGTGCATTTAATTATTAAAAAATAATGTGCTGAGTGGATATATTGACGGTGCTGGGTTGCAGAGAAAAACTGAATTGACTGAGTGAATACGTATAAACTGGAGGAGAATTTAGTTTATTGACGGGCTGGGTTGCGATTAGCCTAATACCCTCAGGCAAATCCTTGTGTGCTCCCTACCTCCCTGCTATGAAATTGGGTTTATGCGGCAAACACCTCCTAAAATATGAGGTTAGCACATTAGTCTCTTTTGATTTAAAAAATGAATCGACTCCCATGTTATAGATATTCATGCGCAAAATTCCTTCTATGAACAAATTTCATTTTCAAATTAATGAAAAGAAATTAGTTTTCTTGTCTAATTCAGAATTATTTACAAATTTATTTGCATAGGCGGCAAGAAAGGTTTTGGATTCGATTTATAGAATAAATTTCATGAATGATTAAAGTTCAATTTAATTTTTCCCGGATAATTTTCATGCTCAAGAGTCTCAGGGATAAGGTTTATCCTTTTCTCTTTATAATATTATATCATTTAACGACTTACTAGACATATGCTACCTGATTTGTAATTTTATCAATTTCTTATGTTTCAATTTAAGTGTTAGATTTAAAATAATTATTTTTATATTTTTTTTGTTTTCTTTAACTCGGTAATAAACTTGAACGGAGTATTAATATAGGATTGGTGCACAGCTCGTCTGGGGATTAGGGTTTGGTGCCGCGAAGTTTTCTTCGTCAACGATTTACAGTTTTCAGATATTGATTTCTCTCAACTTCAACAGGAAGGCATAGGATGGAAGGTGAGGAAGTGAGTATGGTACAAAACCAAATGTGAACTTCAGCTCTTTTCATCACACATGAATTTTCTACGAACCAAACAAATCTATTCACAAACATGAAATTGTGGGGACAAAATAAGCTTGAAGCCTTGAACCGAAGTATAAAATGTGAGGTGCATTTGAACTCAAGGTTGGTTTGGTTTGGCTCATATACATACTAGGTATAGAAATAGCGTTTAGATTCATATTTTAACACAGTTATGCAAACTTGTATTGATCAGACAAAGAGGTATACTATTTAGGAGGTGTTTGGATCTCATTCTTAAAACTGTTTCTCCTTTTTGAGAGAGCAGAAACAGAAGCTGGAGTGTTTGGGTGAAAGTGCAGAAGTGATTCTGGGGCTCTAATTTACTCATAGAATCAGTTTTTTTAGAGGCTGGGGGAGACCAGTTTCTGAAAACTGATTCTGATTCTGCTTCTGATTTAAAAAAGTAGTAGAAACAGAATCAGTTCCAAACACCCCCTTATATTTAAATTTTGGAATTCTCTTTGTGCCCATGCCTTGATGACTTCATTATGCATTACATGAGCAATGAATAGTGAACCATTGTAAGTTTATCTTCCAATGACATCATTAGTCGTTAGAGATTTAAAATATGATCTCTCTTAAACTGAATTTAAGGCAATCATTCACTCATTCTATTGTTGTGGTTACTATTCAAGTTGTTGTGGATTATTTGATTCCATCATTGTCATATTATTAGTCTTGTCTTTCAGTATTTTATTGTCTTCAGCATAACATTATTTTTCTACCGAATTATGTTTTCCATGTTCAGGAATGCATACAATATGGTCCTACATAGATTTGGAGACAAGCTCTACAATGGGCTGGTGTTTACTATGAGATCACATTTGAGAGAAATTGCCATCTCGATAGAGGAATTTCAAGGGGGCTTATTCCTAGAAGAACTGAACCGGAAATAGGCAGATCATAACAAGACATTGCAAATTATCTGGAACATCGTAATGTACATGGACAGAACCTTCATACAAAGTGCACACACAAAAACAGTTCACGAGCTTGGGTAGGATTTGTGGAGAGAACGTCATCCAGTCTATCAAAATCCAAACAAGGCTTCAGCACACACTTCTTAAGCTTGTGCGATTGGAGAGGAATGGGAATTGATAAACCGAGGCTTGATGAGGAACATGATACAAATGCTTGTGGATTTGGGTTCATTTGTTTACCAAAAAGACTTTGAGAAGCCTTTTCTTGAAGGTGTGTTGATTTCTACGGTTCCGAGTCTCAAGGATTTATCGAATCATGCGATTGCGGGGGTTACCCTAAGAAAGTTGAGAAACGCCTTAACGAAGAGATTGAGAGAGTTTCTCATTATTTGGATGTGAGAAGCGAAGCTACATAACTAAAGTAGTGGAGAAGGAGATGATAGAGAGCCACATGCACATATTAGTTCACAAGGAGAGCTCATATTTGGTGACTATGATTTTGATTTTGGGCGACAAGTATGATAACTTGATGAGGTCACACAATTTGTTTGGAATACTACAACCAAATGGACTCTCATCAATCAGGGATCTTATGACTTCTCATATCCGAGAAGTTGGTAAGCAGCTTGTAACCAATCCAGAAAAGTTGAAGGATCCCATGGACTTTGTCCAAAATCTTCTGGATGAGAAAGATAAACACGACAGTATCAGAACTTGCAGGATGCTCAAAATTCATCTTTCGAGTATTTTATAAACTTGAATTCTAGAACCCTAGAGTTTCTATCCATTTTTTGGATGGCAAGCTCAAGATAGGGTTGAATGTGGTGAGTAGGCATGGCCTCGGTTCGGGCCGCCCGGCCCGGGACCGGCCCGACCCGCTACTGTGCGGGCCCGGCCCGGCCCGGTTATCCGGGTCCGGGTCCGGTTCGGGCCGGAGGCCCGGGGGTGGGGCGGTTCCGGGCTCGGTTCATGGTTTTGACGGCCCGGCCCGGCCGGTTCGGGCCCGGGTCCGGGCCAAATCTATTTTTTTTTTAATTTTTTTCATTTGTTTTGGGCTGTTGGGCTTGGGCTATCTGTTTAGGCCGGTTTGGGGGGGTTTGGGGGGTGGGGGGGTGGGGGGGGTGGGGGAAGAAAGGAAGAAAAAAAAAAATTAAACCGGGTGGCCCGACCGGCCCGGCCCGGTCCGGCCCGGAACCGGACCCGGAACCGGTGGCCACCGGTTCGGGCTCGGGCCCAACAAAACAGACCCGAGGCCCGGCCGGGCCTAGGCCCGAACCGGGCCCGAACCGGCCCGGGTCCATCCATAGTGGTGAGCGTGGAGGATGTGGAGATTGTATTGGAGAAAGTTACGATGATATTCCGGTAACTTCAGGAAAAGACATGTTTGAAAAGTACTATAGGCAACACCTTGCCAAGAGCCCAAGAGGGTATTCTCCGGGAAAATGTCTCTAACAATGCTTCTTAAGCAGAGAACAAGAAGCAAAGCTTCTTAAATTTACGACTAGCCGCTCCATCCCTACACCGCTACACTTCAAGTCTCTAAACTTTAAAGCAGCAAACCCAAGATAAAATCGATGTTGCTTGCAATTCCAAACACCGCACAATATCTAGGCATAAAGCCTAGCTCTACAGCTCTACTCCAAGTTATATTCAATTATGGTGGCACACATCACCAAGAAGCTATTGCTAGTTGAGACTTGAGACAAGAAACACTACAACCTCCCTATCAATGGTTTAAAAAATATTATTATTAGGGGGGCGAAGGTTGATATTTAAGTACATTGTTAAAAAAATATAAGCACTTTAGCTATATATGTACTAATGTACAATTGTACATGCCAAAAAAAGGGAGGAGCTTTCCCTCCCTAGCTCTGCTACTGCCATATTGGGTAAAGGTTGTGATTCTTGAACTCAGTTTGATTTGTTTGAAAAAAACAATCAGCTGTGGTCTGATGTTGAAATGGATACCTGAACATACCCCCCCCCCCCCCCCCCAATGGCACCCCTGACCGCATGTTTGTTCATTATCAGAAGTTAGATAGACAGTTGATGACTGAAATGATAATATTGAACAATGTAAAGTATGCTTTCTTTACTGAAATATAATAAAATTTTAGGGGTAAAATATTGAAATCACCACAACTCAGTGAACACAAATAAATGAGTAGGATCAACACCTAGAGAGCACCCACTCTAACATTCAGAATAACCGCCCTAGCTCTACTAATAATGTTAAGAGTTCTATCGAGTCTGCAATGACAACACTAATAGTCGCACTTTCAACATTGAAATCTCAGAAGCAAATGGTAACACCACAAGTACCAGCAGAAGATGATGGTGATTCATCTCATTCCTCTTCCT